CTCTAAGAAACTGTGGACCCTTTGCAAATTCAGAGACTAAGAGCCAAAAATAGGATTCATTATGAATTGGAGGCATTTCTCTCATTTTAGAGGAGAAATTCCTGCTTTGGAAAAATTCCTGTGATGGAAAATGCCCAAATGGTGAATTCAGACTAAGAATTCAAGGACCAAACAAATAAATAAAGAAGGTAAAAGATGCTGAAGATTTCATATGATACACATGATGATATGGCTTACCCATACATTCTAAGATAGACACACAAAGGCAGATTTAACCGGGCTAAGATAAAATTAACGTTGTGTGTGAGGAGGCAGTAAGTAGAGAATGAAGTCTAAGTAAAAATACCAGGAACAAAAAAGATACAAGCAACCAATCAAGGTTCTCTATAACTTAGACTCTATCTATTTTTTCCCCAATTTCTTTCTGTTCCCTTTCATACATTTGTGCTTCAACTAACTAACCTACACATCCTCCTTTAATATCACAAAAGTTCCCATTTCTTTTTTTTTTAAGTTCCCATTTCTGTGTTTATGCTGAGGCCTTTCCCTGAAATATTTATTTCCCCATACATCTACCCTTATCCTGGCAATTCCGAATTCTCATCCTTGAAGACCTAGTTCAAATGGCACTTCAGCTAGGAAGTTTTCTTTCATTCCTGTAAGTATAAATGAATTGTCCAAAGTCTACAATGTGTATCATATTTTCATTTTTGTCATTTTTATTAATTTAACAAATWTTTGAGAATACATGCCAGGGTCAGTAAATACTTTTCTATATTTATATACATGTTTTATCTACCTGTTATACTATTATCTTTTTGGGCATAGATTCTTATGTTGGTTCATATCCGTTCTGACTCACAGTAACCAGTATTCTGCCTTAACCTCAGTAGTCACTCAAACATGGAAGGCACACTATTCAAAAAAGATGGCTCTRTGTGGGGTTGGAGACAGGTATCATAATAGGTATGCTTCACTACAGACAGTGTAGTAATAAAGGAGGGAAAGAGATGGCATTTAAGAGGGGTCTTAGAAATTAGGGTAGGCTTTAGAATTTGAGATAGTAGAAATATTTCATTTTGATTGAATATGGGGTTCGAAGAAAAGCAGAAAAAGCTAAGCTTAGAAAAATTTTAAAGATCAACTGGGAAGGTCTTAATTCCAAGAAAAGGATATAAATTGTTTTCATAACCAAGGAGGAATGATTAAAAGTGCTAGAGATCTCCCTGATGTATGTTTAAGTAGGAGCAAGAGAAACCAGAATAATAGATAGATTGGGCAAAATTAAAAACTGAAAAATTAAACCAGCCTCTATTTCCAGCTTCTTTACTTTATCCYCACTTTTTTCAACTTTTGTTTTTCAAGTTTTAGGTGGATGACTATGTTCCCTGAGCTATAAGCTAAAGAACTAACCTACATAAACACACTTCAATTCAGTAATCCAGTTTTTAAACATATAGCAAAATCAATCTGTCATATTTCATATAAATTGTGATTGTGCTTTAGATTGTGACAAGGAAGCAGAAAACTTCACTGATACTCCTTTCCAGGTGTTTGCCATCCCACATCTCTTATGGCAGTGTTCTAGCAGGTAAGAATTATTAGCATCTCCTTTGCCTTCTTCTCAAGCTTACTCTTTTTCAGTTCTTATCTCTGCTAGACCCTGCTAGATCTCTTGCTCTATCAGCTTGCTGTACTGAACCTTCAGGTTAATCTATTCATACATTCAAAAAGTAGAATCACCTTGATGAGAGGGAACACTCACACAAAGGCTGCTTTACTGGAAGCACACAGTCACAGCTGTCTTCTGGGATGCCTGGGACACCTGTCCTATGGAACTTCTCTCACTGAAGGAGTGAAAAAAGTCACATACCTAGAAGTTTTGCAATAGCTCCCTTTCTTGCCAATTTCTCTTCCCATTCTTTGGGACCGAGAAGTCACTTAATCAGGCCCCAAATACAATTCCTTCTGCCATCTTTTAGGATCAGTCCTATAAATGGGAGAGTCTGAGTAGACTTCCATTTAATGGAAGATAATCACTGACCAAAAATATCTCCCCATATAACCTAAAATTCATCAATTTGGGATTCATTTGAGTTAAAAAACAAACAAAACAACAACAACAAAAACAAACAAACAAACATGACTCTGGACAAGATAAGTTAGAAGGGACTTTGCAATCAACTTCTAATTAGGAAAACAATCTAACTGATCTGACCCACTTGAAGAGAATGGGAGTGTGATTTGAGGGGAAAGGGTAAGGGAGAAGGACAAAGTATAGAAAATCTTTAGGCCATTTTGGAACATGTTGTGTTTCCAATGAAAAATCCAAGAAGGATAAGAATGAGGGCACTGGGATCCTGGAAGCTAGCAAATAAAGGCTTGCCAAGATAAAGGAATAAGAAAGAGCCATAGCTCAAAATGTTTAGTGAATGAGCTACAAAGGTTGAATTTTCCTTGGAAATTTCCAATGGCTTTCTCCAAGGTCCTCATGTACTCCTAAAGGTTCAACCCAGCTCTCACTTTCTGTGGGACCATTCACAAAAAAGTGGAATGTACCACAACCTATTTCACCAAATGAGGCTTGGAGTGGTGGATATAGAGCTAACGCCAAGAACGGGATATCAAATATGGTACCAAAAGAACTGGAACCAAAAATGGGATTTAGTTTGTTAAAATGACAGGTGTCTAGAGATGTTTTTTCCCATCCTAAATTTTATACAAACTATTTATGGTGGAAATTCTGAGTATGCCTGGGTCTAAGAAATATGTGATTGGCAATCCACCATTGAGAATTCACCAAGCTCCAATAAAACTATTTCACTTGAGCTCAGAAAATGAAAAATGCAGTAAGGTAGAGTTTTGCAGACACACAAAGTTAGTTTCCCCACAAACATTTCCTAAACAGATAATTAAACYAATTATCTTCAAAAGTTTTTTAAACTAAGGGTAACACATGTGTTTAGAGTGAAAATACCCAGCAGCAATGGTGCTGCCTCCTACCACCTACATCTGCAGCCATTATAGCTTGCTCCCTGCTCAAGATAGTCCTGTCCACGTGAGAGATTGTAAGGCACATTGTTCTCCTTCCCCTACAGAGCCAGTGACATGACTCATCCAAGGTCTATAAGCCTTGCCTGCTCATTTCCAATTTCTTCACCTCAATTTAATAGCATCTTCCCTACTGTAAACATAATTACCTCAATGTACACCTGTACACCTTTGTCTTTTTTAATATAAAAAAATATATTTCTAATCCTCTCCTAATTGCACATGACCAATTCTATCTTAACCCTTCCTACTTCATTCCCACTGCCCTCCCACCAGTGGCAAAAGCTCTCTGGAGGTTGATTATTTACYTCTCAGACATTTGACCCTATCGAATTTGGCATACATTTTCTAAGTTCATATTACTCAAAAGAAAAAGAAGTTATTTTGGCTTTATTATTTATTCAGATGAAATACTGCACACTCCATTCTGTCATTCCTCACTTCTCCCACATCATATACAACCCCTCCAGACTGTTTAAAGAGCAAAGATAACAAAGGTTCCCTACTCTTTTCCCCACCTGCTGTTTCCCCACCTGTATAGCTACCCTATCCAACACAGTCACTGTTGTTATCCAAAAATCTGGCAATGGTCCCAGAATTTGAAAATTACAGTGGCACTTTCCCACTGGTTAAAATCCTTGTTTCTTTTTCGGCATTAATCACTCTTTTATAACTCAATATCCCCATTCTTCAGCAATTCCCTCTTCTGCTTTATATGCTGCACTCTCCCCTTTATAGGTGACCAACTCTCAATATCATTGTTTCACAACCATTTGTAAACCCTGCTCTTTTCAAAAGATGTAGCTGGACTCTAACCTTGGTCTCCTGAATCACAGAGCATGATATAGGACTGATAACAATAGCCAATTATATCTGCACAAGTACCTGACCTTAACCAAATGTTTTCACATTCATCCTCCTCTTATTCGAGTCTCTCAATAATCCAGAGAAGAATGAATGTTCTTCCTATTTATTATCTGAGGAAACTACAATTCAGCAAGGATCAGATGACTATTCTGAGCCAAGAGATATTTAAATGATAGAGTCAAGAGTCAAACTGGGAACTTCAAGGTCAAACCCCAACTCTTTCCCCAGACACATGTCTCAGAATATACTGAGCTGTCAAAGCCCTATACCTTTGATGCAAGTTTACAGTGATAATGTAGCTTCATCCTCTTGCCTAATCTGTATCACCATTTTTATTCTATTTCCTATGCTAGCACCAATCCTTGACCCCACCCTGCCCTTTCAACTTCCCATGGATCTGCTAATTAAACCAAGCTCTTTTCTTCTGTTTTGAACATAGTCCTATTCTTTCTCTACTAGTACCTTTTTCACCTAATGATTTACTCACACTGTGGCTCAAGAGCCACAATCTCTTAACCACAAATTCTGTATAAGTACACATTAATTTATGGTTTCAGCTCCATAATCTCCATCCTCTCTCTCTCTCTCTCTCTTGCCCTGTTGAAATCCTCTAGCTTAGAGTGTAAGCTCCTGGCCCAGAAAGCTCATTTTGCCAGCTMTGGGTATCATTCCATACAAAGCCATACATTCAAAGGCTCATAAACATTAACAACTATGATATTTTTAAAACAAATTACTCCTGTCCTTGATCTGAAATGACAGAAACCAGCTACAAAGACCACTAAGAACATTATTTTTATTCTGATTCAGAGTTCTTTAAATAGGAATTAGTTTACCAGAGTTGTAAAGTAGATGACAAGGGAACATATTTTTCTGTGTGGTCCCAAAAGTATAACATGAAATTTGGAACAATTTGTTATTAGCTTCCCATCACCAGCAATAGTCCAGCTCTACTGCACAGCAAGGTCAACCCAGGTAAGAAAATCGCAGTTACTAGCGTTCCTGATATAAGGAGGAGGTGGTCAGTTATTCCAATTGCATACATGCTCTGGAAAAGCACCAGGTGACTGCATATTACTTACCGGTTTGTCCTTGATGGTGGGACTTGACACACACAGGTACAGTTTCCCATCTTCTTCTAGGCAGGCATCTATCAAGGCTTGTACTGAGCTCTCCTCCTGGAAGAGCAGAAACGCATAGCCTTGGGGAGAACAAAAACAAAGGGACAGGGAGGAATCAGTAAATTAAACTCAAAGTACCTGTCTGTTGCTTCATTTTGACAAATTTTTACTAAAATTTAAGACATTCAAGTGGGACAAAGAGACTTGAGACGCCCATGTGCCAGGCACTATGCTAGGTGTGCATGACATTACCTTGCTTAAACATCCCTGACTGAGCTAGCTGGGTGCTCCAACATTACCTTTYACTCAGGGGAGCAAGCTCAGAACACCTCTATGGAATTTCTTCTAACTAGGTCTCATCATGATTAATGAGGGCAGGTAGATTCACCCTGGGCATGAACCACAACTAGCAGCCAGGAAATAAGCATCACTTGCCTCCAATTTCCACCAAGCCTTGAAAATATTATGCTAACTGAAAGAAGCCAGACCAAAATATCATATCCAGAATAGGCAAATTAAGACAAATAATAGATTAGTGGTACCTGTAACTGGAGGGCTACAGGGAACAGACACAGAGTTTCCTTTGGGAATGATAAAACTTTTCTAAAATTGACTGTGGTGATGGTTGTAAAACTCTGTGGACATACTAAAAAGCAATGAACTATACATATTAAGTTGGTAAACTGTATAGTATGTGAGTTACACCTCAATAAAGTTGATTTTTACATATTAAAACTGCTACTACTGCTACTTTTCTTAGGGTTACCTTCCTAGCATAATATATTATCTATAAACATGAACATTAATTGCAGGATTTCCCTGGACACAGTCAGTTTTTAAAACTGTATCCTTTATTGCACATAGTAATTGTACATATTTAGGGGCATAGTGTCATAAGCTGATATATATGTATAATGTATAATGATCAAATACAGGGAATCAGCATTTTCCTCTCCTTAAAACAGTTATCACTTCTTTGTGTTGGGAAGCTTTAAACTTCTCTATCCTAGTTCTTTAGAAAATATATAGGGCTGAGGGTATTACTCAGTGATAGAGCACACTACCTACATGTTAGAAGCCCTRATTTAATCCCCAACACCAATAAAAATAAACAACTCATTGTGAACTATAGTCAACCTATTGATAGTTTAATTCAGTAAGATTTATTGATTAATTATTACAAGTGGGACATGGTCTATGCATTATGAGAACACTGAAATGAGTGAGACCAGATTCCTGAAGTCAAGAGACTTATGGAGCAGAATAAGCAGATATTTGGAAAAAACTATAACTACAAAGCTGAGGGAGAAAAGTGGGGTGGGCTGGAGGCAGTGCCACAGGAGCCCTGAGGACTCTGATTTAGGAGAATCGGCAAAGACTTCAAAGAGAACAACAGATGTTCAGGGGGCCAACTCTGACACTTGTTGCCACAATGGCATTCATGAATGGCAGCTGAGCAAAGGCCCATCATGAGCAACTCTAAGCCTGATTACTCAACTATTCATCCTCTTTACAACCCTAATAGCTTTGCTAAATCTCTCAGCTGTCACCCCAATTCCCAGTCCTGCTACTGACCTCAAAGAAAATCATCACCAATACTGTTTTCTGGTGCTTTGTTTGCTGGAACAATGTAAATGGTGGAGAAGGACAAGAACCMTAATATACAGAAGATTCTTATACATCATACAAAGATTTTTAATTCACAATCAACTGGCTATAAATCAAAGTCYTCTTGTGTCCCGGTAGGTAATAAAATCGTCACATAATGACAGCAGCAGTGGTAATTGCTGTTCTTTTATTTAGACTTTTCTTCAAACCTTCATCCACATAGAGAGTATCCAGGTAAGCACAGCAGGAAAAAGATGAGCTACTTCACAAAACACCAGGAAGTGGCCATTGTAACAGGCAAAAGCCAGCACACAGGCGAATGCACCTAGCTGAATGGGTGGGCTGGCAGCTATAAGAAAGAGGCTTTCTAGTGTTAGGACTTAGAGCTGTTTTCTGGACTTTGTTCCCAGGCTAGCAGGGTCAAAAGATTCAGTAGGTGACTAGGCAGGAAAAATAAAACCTAACTGAAAAAGTAGAAAAGATAATACATCATTTCTTTCTCCTCTCTTTTGCAAACAGTATCAAACTATCAACAAGTCCTGGGGACTTTATTAGAAATTCAGTGTTTTAATTTAGTGTAAGAACATTAATTCTACATGTCTAGAGAATATTAGAAATGAGTTAAAAAATGCAAATATCACAAAAAGGAGGTCTGGAAAGTCCCCTTAAACCTCCTATCTTACCAGGCTAAATTCTGGTACAGAACTTCCACAAAGGTCATAAGGAAGTATACTGAGTATCTTACCCTTGGAGAGAAGCCCATTTGTTTGTACATTATGCACAGTCATATCAAAAAGGCCTGGAAGCCAAGCATGGCAACACATGCTTATAAACCCAGCAACTGGGGAGGTTGAGGCAGGAGGATTGCAAGTTCCAGGCCAACCTTGGCAACTTAGCAAGACCCTACCTCAAAATAAAACATAATAAGGAGAAGGGAGTGTATCTGAGTAGTACAGTACTCAGTGAGTTGGGGCTTTCTCCAGTTCCTTTCCTCTGGAAGGCCTCCAGCTGACAGCACCTTTCTTCCACACCACTGCTCACCCTCTCTGCTATCTCCCACATCAACTCCAGTTTTGAGTCACCCTTGAGCATCAGAGAAAGGGAAGTTGTCTCTCTATAGCACCTAAGTAGTTACCACAAAAGCAAGCAGATTTTCACATAGACCTATATCATAGCCATAGATGTCTACACTGGCAGTAGACAAGTAAAAACAACTATGACTCACAAGTAAAAGCCTGTTACAAATATTAATACCAAGAGAAAAGACATATAAAAACCTTTTTCACCTTTCCCAGGTAACAGTCCATCATAGTTTACCAATTTCTTCAGGATGGTTATTTTACAACAAATAATTTTGTGTCAAAACAATCTTTTCCAAAGTCTCTACATTGATAATATCTGTTAGGACTACAGATAAAGGATGTGTCTGAACACCCCTCTGAGCTGTAATCTAACAATTTCCTTCCACTTTTCTTCCCACCAAAATAAAACTTACCAGAATACCCATAAGCCATCCACGAAAACCTTGCCTAACTAAAATGCTTGATACCTTATGGTCAAGCATATCCTGATGACAAGAGAAATTACAGAATTTTTTAAACTCAGGAAGAAAGAATTCTTCAAACCCATTTCCCCCTTGATCTTGACAAGTAAATATAAGTTCAAAGTAACTAATGGACAAAAGGATATCCTCAAGAATAACAAGGTCAATGTAAGGTAGAAATTAAATCAATGATTCACTAAAGAGTAAATTCCACATGGTACTCCTGATCCAAGAAGAGTCCTGGATCAGGAGTCAGGAGGGCTGGATTTAGCTAAAGTCCTAACATTTACTAGCTGTATGATAGTAACAGCTAACATTTATTGAATGTTTACACCAGGCACTGACCTAAATGCCTTGTATGTATTAACTCGATTCATCTTCACACACACCCTATGGAAGCAGACACTATTTTAATTGTTTTATTACAGTTTAGAAAACTGCACTGGGAATCAAGTGTCTTGTTTGAAGTCATCTATTAAATGAAAGTACCATGAACTTGAAGCTGGGTRTGAGGGCACATGCCTGTAATCCCAACTGCTTGGGAGGCTGAGGAAGAGGATTTCAACTTCAGAGTCAGCATGGGCAATTTAGTAAGACCCTGTCATAAAATGAAACAAAACAAAACAAAACAAAAGAAACGGGGATTTAGGTCAATGATACAGCACTTGCCTAGCATGCGTGAGGCCCTGAGTTTAATCTCAAGTACCATGATCTTGAAAATTAATTTAACATTTTTGAGATTCAGGCTCTTTTCTCTATAAAATGAAGAAATTAAGTATTTGTCCTGATTATTTTACAGAAATGTAGGTTGTAAGATAATATATATAAAGGTGCTTTATGAACTAGGGGGTCCTGCAAGTGTTGATTTTTCATTTTCAGCACTTTCAATTATTTGTATGATAAAAAAATTAAAATTGGGTTATTTCATATAGTCTCATTATAAAAATTAGAATTAAACTAATGATGTGCACTTTCTATTTTCCCTCTATAAGTTTTTGGTGAGTAAAGGGAAGTAACCTAGATACTGAAGAAAAGTCCTAATTAAAGATTCTGAAGATATGCTGAATATTACCATAAACAAACAATAAGGTGACTGAATATCTACTTTCACATATTCCTAGCCATTTCTACCAAGAGAGAACTGTCAGGGGTAGTATTATTTGCTAATTTTAATACATTCTTTAAAAGCTGATTATACCTATAAATACAGCTTCTCTAATCATTCTATTGATGGCAGGTTGTTCTATTAGTTTGGAAGGCATAAAAAACAAAATAGAACACTTGACCCAAAACTTGTCAACTCCCTCAGTTCTCCCTTGTAACTCTGAGCCAGTAACAGATAAAAGGATTATAAAAYTCCTCCAATTTCAGAAATAGTGACTTGAGGAGTGTGTGGGGGCTTCAGAAATGTGGTGAGCTGTGGGAGGCCCTTAGCCTAGGAACAGTCTATGGGAGGAGACATGGCTTTTAGAGGGAACAGGAGGAATTCTTGCCCACTGTCAGTATCATGACCCTGGGATGACAAGTAGAATGGATGGAAGGAAATTCCTTGTTTTCTCACTGGTACCAAATAGGTTGGAGGAAGAAGGGTAGAACAGCAAGGGACTTTAGGATGAGAATGATTGACAAGTACAATTTTCTTGGGGGAAAAAGGCACAGGAAAGTTGGGGAAAAAAAACTTAATTAGGATAATTCCATTTTATTTGGCCACATTTTTGAAGGGTAAATTTAATTAAAATTTTTTTCTCTTAATACCTGGGAACACATTAAGAATAACAACCTCCAAAATGTTCTTAGCTGCCTTAAAAAAAAAAAAAAAGAAAAGCTTCCTCAGTTCTTAAATACATAATTTTTCAAAATATTTAATCCATAGTAAAAATAACAATCACCAACAACTTTACTAAGTACTCACAATGTTCCAGGCTTTTT